AATCGGTACATATATAGAGAAGAAATGAGTTATTCGGAAAATTCATATTCAAAAAATTTGATTAACTTGGTAGAACTTTGTAACGTTCACTTATGTTAATTTTTGCAGAAACTGTACAGCAATTTTTCAAGTAATTTAACTAATTGTAAGGTCACAGAGCTTATATCACAACTTTCTAATAGCGCCAATCGCTGGCTATTTGCATAAATAGTAATGTCTTATAAATGCCATGATAACATTGTTTTTTTCCGGTTTAAACTCAACCATGCAGAATAATGCAATTGACTAGTGTACTGGCCATTGAAATGTAAACTTTTATTCTCCTCTAAATTATTTCAAAATATAAATTATAAGAAACGGTTTAAAAACGAGAAAGATAAGATTCATAAAATTAATTTGTCTCGTGGTTATTACATGCGGATTATATTCACATATTTTTTTTGAACAGAGATGTTAATAATAATTATAATATGCACACGTGCGCACTTTTGTGTATATATTGCATAAAATAAAGTTACTTAAGTGTATATATCGTATTTGCATGTTTTGTTTACATACCTATATTAAATTTAGTTTTATTATACTTATTACTATATTAGTTTTATTTTCATCGTTATTTCATGTGCCATAATTCTGTCGTTGTTTTCTCAGTTATTTATTTATAGCTAACACATTATTCATAATAATTAACAGATTAATAGATGTGAAAATTATTCAACGTACAACAATTCAATTAATGATAACTTATATCAGCAGAATAACTGTGCAGCTATTTTAAGATACCTGTTGTGTATTACTTTTATATTATCGATCGGCAGAGGTTTAATGACTCACTGTGCACAGCAGATATCAAAAAACAGTATTTATTATTAGAGAACTGTTGATGGCGACAATGCGACTCGGTGTTCTAACAACGACGACGAAACGGAAGAACAATGAAAAAAAAAATACGCCACGCATGCGTATCAATCGTATAATGACATAGGTTAACATTAGCACACGGCACACTTCTGGCGCCAAACAAAATATAATTCTGAATGTTAAACAATTATTCTCTACAATATCATTATAAAGCGACACGAATTTATTGTTTATTTGATGACAAACAATATGATATTTATTTATTTAAGTTTTGCACAGATTTTATCGACGACCATCTTTTTGAGGGATTACGTCGTTGAAAGACTTAAGCGTATACATTCTGTTTAATGGAGAATGTTCTTCACTCTCTACGTCACTACGTCGTCTATAATGTATACGTCGCGCTATAACGGGAAAGAACAAATTAATGTCTAACTTTTTGTTTTGATTCTTAATAAATAAATGAGATAAACTGCTGATGATCAACCCAAATATGAACGTTATTAAAAATCCAAGGACCGAATACCACAAGTATGAAATGCGATATAAATAGAAATACGAGCTGTCACCGGTGCTTCTGAAAAGAAGATATAATAATGTAATTGTTAAGTTATCTCATGTATACATAATAAAAAAAAAAACAGTTTTAAAGTGTAGGGAAATTAGACCCTGGAAAAACTCGAAATCAGCGGAATTGATCGAGCACAAATTTTGAAAGTGCCTGCTACAAATTTTATCGATAGAATGACTGCAGAAATATAATATATATGGTACATAGAATCTGTTAATATAATAGAATAGAGGAGATTGTAATATTATTTAAAAATTTAAGCAAATCTATTTTTTATAATCACTTAAATAATGTATTCCATTTATTTAAATATTTAAAAAATAATTTATCGGTTTGTGTCGAGTTAATCTGCTGTTAAATTATATTGACAAAACACGAGTTCAATGCAAACCATATCGAAACTCTGATATTTGAGTAAATCTGCTACCAATCTGTTGTCATTCTGCGAGTCGTGTGCTTATTGAGTAATTATGTTGAATCTCGAAAATTATGTGGGACACTGAAATATGATAATAATGCCAGAAAAAGTTTTGACATTCTAGCAATTATTTCGAGCGTTCTACATACTTATATTAATGTTTCAACATAATTATTTGGATATGACTTAATTTTTATATTCTTAAATAAACTGTTCCTTCTAGCTGGTAGTTATTATTCAATGAATCACTTACTTGGAGAAGTTCGTGATGTTTTGCAAAACGGACATCGTTATATTTGCAACATTATTATTACAGCCTTCAATAGTAATTGGTAATTTAGGTGATTTTGGCCGTGGCTGACCTAAAACGATCCAAAATAAAAATGAAAACGCTGTAAGAGCACCGGCCATTGTACCACCTTCCGTCGCCGATTCCGTGCCCATGCCAAGCGTGAAAATGCCTAACAACGGACCACCGACTACTCCGACAATAATTGTGCTAGCCTACAATAAAAGAAATTAAGTTATCGCCGTCGGTCTTACGTTTAAAAATACTAATGAGCATTACCTGAAATATTCCGCCCCAAAATTGCGCTAAAAATGCCAGCGCGATAGAAATGATACCGAACATAAAAGCGAGCATTTTAGCGATGGAGACTGACTTTGTAACGGAGAAATCATGTCCGATGGATTTTCTATATAAGGGTTTTATATAATCCTCCAACGTTATTGCAGCCAAAGAATTTAGTGCCGCAGAAATCGTGCTAAGGCCTGCGCTAAAAATACCTGGAAAAATATAGAGAATCCATGATTAGTACTTATTACAAATATCCACTAAGCGCTTCTATTTAAAACAGTCCTAATTATACGTTAAAGAGAGAGAGATCCAACATTATTGTGAACGTCAACAGCGCGTTCTTATTTTTAAATGATTTTGAAAATATGTATAAAATTATATTTCAGACATCGGTACTTTGAGATATGAAAGAGATTTTATTTTCACAATTTATAACATGAGATATTACGTAAAACCAGTCGCGATAAAAACTTACCCGCGACAAAGAGGCCTGGTAAGCCAGGTATAGTGGACATTGTGTCCATAACATACAATGGCATAAGCATATCAGGCGAAGTAATCCTTTTCTGAAGAAATGGATCGCATTTGTGGTATTTGCTGTATATCGCTAATCCTGAGAAGGAAGTTGTGATAAAGAGAAGTGTCAGAATGGGCCACGACAACCATATAGTTCTTCGCGAAGCTTGCATATTTCTAAAATAAAATGTATTTATTTAATGTTTTCTCCAATTTTTTGAATGCGATTCAATCGGCGATTCAATAAGCGTAATGTAAAAAACGAGAAATTAAATTAATAGATGTTAAAGTAAATAAAAAATAATTAACTTGTTATCGTTTTGATATAGGACAAATAAAGTATCAGCAATTGTTCTTATATATATGATAATCGTTAATCCTATTTAGTGTTATTTAAATTATGGAACTTTTACTTCACAGTCAGTGTACGTTGTACTTGTATTTGGCTCACTCCGTAAAATGATAAAAATAAACATAAACCACCAAGAGTAAGAGACCACCATGTATGTCTTACTGTTGGATCCAAATCAATTCTATAACAAAAGGAAAATCAATTAGTTTCTACATACATACAGTATAATTCAAGTAATATAAAAAAAATATATGAAATACCTATCAAATTCGAGCCGTTGCCCTTGCCT